TTCAATTTGAGGGGAAAAGTGGACTCTATGTAAGGACTCATGTCTTCAGATTGGCATTGGAGGTATGTGACATTTTCTGGCCACTTCTTCCCATTCTCCTTAAGAATGACTCAGCTACTTACCATGAAATGTGATTGTTATAGGCATGGGAGGGACAGGACTGTGAAGGAACTGTGAGTTGTAAACAAATGGATTAGAATTTTGTGTTTGTTGATTTAACCATGACTGCTGATATGGAATCTTCAAAATGCACTCCAAGGAGCTAAACCTGAGATCCTGTTCCTATAGCACCAACTGGAATGACTAAGTGATGAAATTCCTCCAAGATTCATCTAGCCAGACCAGTCTATTTCCTTGATGTCTCAGGAACACAGGAAGCCAAGGCTTTTCAGGATGGAACTTCTGGGACTAGTGATACTTGGGGAGTTGCCCTTATGCTGTGGGAGAAGTGACCAGACTATGAACTTATAACTATTGTCTGTCGTCATAGGATAATGCTCTGCATGTGAGGACTGTGGAACACCTGATCTCTTGAGGAAAGGATGGATGAAAGACAGAAGCAACTCATTAAGGTAGAGATGAGAACAATGAGCTTCATCTCCAAGCCTTGTGTGGAGACTTCTAAGACAGGAAGCCAAGAATAAAGCTGGAGGAAAGCTTGACAGATGTCAATTGTGTTTCTAAAAGAGATGTAAAACTATTCATCCAAAGTCACTGGAAAGGATGTTTTGATACTTTCAAACTTGCCCCAAATGTGTGATTCATGTTCCCTTTTCTTTTTCTTTTTTTTTTAATTTTTATTATAAAGATGTGGGGTACAATTCAGGGTTAGGTATACAAACATTGATCACACAGGTACCCCTGTTAATGAGGTATGTCCCTCCCTCCCCTAGCAGTTTCCCTCAACTGCCAATCCCACCTCCCACCCCCACACCAACAGTTTTTCATTACTGCCATCGCTTTCTTATAGCATTATAATTGTTCAAGGTCCTCTTATGAGTGAGAACATATGGAACTCTTATTGTTTCTGTGATAAATCACTGAGTATGATCGACTCCAAACCCATTCAGGTTGCTGCAAAGTCCATATATTTGTCATTCTTTATGGCTGCATAATATTCCACTTTGTATATGTACCACATTTCTTTTATCCAGTCTAGCTTTGATGGGCAACATGGTTGGTACCATGTTTTTGCTATTGTGAATAGAGCTACAACAAACATATGTGTGCAGATATCTTCTTTATAGAATAATTTGAGTTCCTCCGGGTATGTTCCCAGTAGGGGAATTGCTGGGTCATATGGAAGGTCAATTTCTAGTTCTTTCAGAAATCGCCAGGCTGTTTTCCAGAGAGGTTATAAAGTTTGCCTTCCCACCAGCAGTGTAGAAGTGTTCCTTTTTCTCCACATCCTCACCAGCATCTGTTGTTGTTTGTTTTATTAATGATGGCCATTTCATGTTCCTTTTTCAATGACTGCTTCCCCCTACTGCCAATGACTCAAGGTTGCAACCCATGGGAGAAAATGGCCACCATTCTTGCTCTGTTGAGAGGGCAAGGCTTTCTTCTGCTAAACACAAGATATGGAGAAATAAATATTCTCTTTTTTTTTTCAGCAAACTCTAGACCCCAATACTGTTTTTACATGCCCCATTAAATTGGAATTCTTCTTAGTGGTCATTATTACTGGTGTAATTAACTCTTCTAGGTTTTTACCATTGGCTAGACAATAAGCTCACTGAAGAAAGGTACCATGACTCTACATTTACCTGCTCTATTCCTACTGCTGGCCATGGTTTCTGACCCATAAATGTTACTGAGAAAAAGAGGAGTAGCCCAAATTGCTAGCAGCAAGCTTGCCTGGCTCTAGTTGCTAGGCTACAATGTTCTCCTGGTGAATATATACATTTATGTATATATATATTTATACATTCCATAAATTATGCATAAATACATACACTTTTTAAAATTTCCATTTAATGTAAATATAAGTAATGCTCAGTTACAATTCTGTGAATATAATATTCAGCAGAAGAATATGTTTCTCTGAATATAACTAATTTCACAGAACTCCAACATCAGACAAACTAACTCTGTGACTAGCAGGAAGCAAGACAAAAACAAGATCCCTCTGAGCATCAAGAAACTAAAGCATTGTCTGACACACAAAAGTGACTACACATCCCCTTTTTTCAGCTAATATGAGTGACTGCTACTTTTTACTAACTATAGCTTTAGCCTTACCTCATCGCTCCAGCTATCTAGCTAAAAATTATTAAGCCACCGAATTATAGAAATACCCCTGCTTTCTGACAGCACCCAATCCAAAGTAAAACTCGGCTTCCTTGAACCTTTCCCCAAATCACCTAACAAACAAGCCCAAATCCTACACAACCACCTGTTCATGCTTTCCTCTGGCATCCTATCTCTGTCATCACAACAAGCCAATCAACATAACTTTGTCCTACTATAGGTGTTTTCCTGGCGCTCTTGGGATGGAAATATTGATGCTTCTCGATAGTAGTGTGTTAAATGAAGGAATGTGGGACTAGAGGACTTGAAGGTTAAGGAGTGTGAGAGGGAAGAGGTGCTGGAAGTGGCAGTTAGGAAGGGCAAACAGTGAGAAAAGACAGAAGGTCATATCTCTAATTAGAGTTGTAGAGGAGAGACCAAGGAGGGACCTTTCGAAGGACCAGAACTTCCTAGTGGCATGCCTTCGTTAGATTGGCCCCCTGCCCGGCTGGCATTCTCTTGGCCTCCACCACCAGCAAAACTGGAGGAAATTGTTTCAACACTCTGTGCCCCTCTTCAGCTTCACTCACCCAGTCTGGTATGAGGAAGTATCCACTTCACACTTCATGAGTAAGTCCTTCCAATGCACTAGCAACTGGTGGGGTCCTAAACAATGTGAAAGAAATGGGCACCCCAGCATAGTTCTGGGACTAAGCCTAAAAATATCTCCCCAGCAAGAGACTCCTACAGACAGAAGAATATTAGAGATGAGAGTCAATGCCAGCACTAACGCTTTCCCCCTTCCTCCAGCCCAAGCTGCATTCCTAGTGACCAACTGCAATTAATTTTCCCTTGGGTGTCTCAAAATAAATCATTGGATTTTTCCCATATTTTGAAGAGGGTCAGTTGTCATGTGCATACCCTAATAGGGAGTTTTGTGTCTAAAATCCATAAACTACAAAGTACTGAGAAAAATCACATACCATTAAAATGGTTCACTTAAAATTATTACTATATTATAAATTGCATATATTTCAAATTATTACTATATGTATTACTAAATTGTTACTCTAAATTATTACTAATTTAAATATAAATAATGTTCTGGTATAATTTTGACTAATTTTTTGGAAATAAATAGCAAATTACAGTTATTATAATAGTAGAGACAAATTCAATGAGAAATTCATCTCTAATACTACAATAAAATCAATAGGAAAATAGGACTCAGATTTTATTTTTAAAAAGCATCCCTCACAAACCTTAGAAACGATCAGGTTTGTTGCACTAAATGTGATGCACATGATATCACCATCATCAACCTCATCATTAGCAACACAGTGAACAAATCATCGTCATGATTCCCACCAATTATCTTAAATATTTTATGCTCATGAATCATTTTCTTATGATCAATATCATGCATCCCACAAGATGCTAAATACGGACAAACTGGCTTTTTTCCCTCATTAAGTATGAATCTTGTGATCCCAACTGTTGTAGCTTGTTTCACTACTTCGTCTTCTCAGCCATATAATCCTACCTTGCCTTTAGTTCCCTTGGGAGCCCCACCTGCCCCAGATAGGGTCTGGGTGCCATCCTCCATCCATTACCTAATACAGCTCATTCCCAGGGTACAATGGTCTCAGATCGCCCAACATCCCCAAGAGTCAGGAGCCAATTACATCTTAAGAAGTCATTTCCATTGGGGATAAGCCTAGCAATAGAGAATCGATGTCCAAAAGGCAGAGTTATTTGGAGACATTTGAATCCCAGGGTGAATCACATGGTATGAAACATATATGCTTACTTCTTTGATATCAATCCGGTTAAACTTGAAATGTTCAAGGTCAGGAAATAGGTCATATGCATCTCTGCATTCTCACTGCTAAATGCAAGGGTGGCAGAGCTCAAGTTACAGCATCTGAGGTGGATGAATGAAAGAAGAAATGACAGATCCCAGCACACTTGGAGAGCAGTCATCAAGATTTCCTGGTTCCTTCTTGTCATGCACGTGGGCTGGCACACTGGAAGACGTTGGAGACCTGGGATGGGAGTGTTTGGCTCTGGTACCTCCCTGGTTGTGAAAGCAGCAGCATACTCAGGTTGTGCATCACAAAACTTGCACAGGATAAAAGGACTCCTGCCCTAGGCTCCTCATCCACAGCTTCCTCAGGAACAGACTTCTCCTCTTCTTCCGCCTCCTTGTATCTGGTAAGCATCTGGCAGTGGATGGACCCTTGGTTGGGGCTGTCTGGGGAAGACAAGCCCAGATTTCAGTAGGGAAGAGGGAATCAGAGCTACCTGATGGGGTGGAAGGAAGAAGACTTTGGAGGGCAGCTGGGGACAGAGAAAGGGGACAGTGAGCAAGAAACCTCTGTGGGATGCATCAGAGTCTGCGACACCTCAGAGACCTGGCTCTCTGCATTCCCTCCACTCTTTTCCTGAGAGATGTATATGCCCAGAGACATTCTCCAGGAGGCATTACCCATTTGGGTGTATTTGCTTCAACATTTCTGTGAAGACAAAAGGACTTGGACCCAGTTATAGATATTAACATTCTTTTCTAGGAGGTCCAAGTGGAAGGAAATGTCTTACCAAGTCAATTTAATTTTATAGTAGTTTCCATTTTTCTTTCTGAAGATTATAGCTCAGGAAGCAACTGGTCTTAGGAGCAAGAGTTTTATAAAACCATTTGTAGAGGAGACACTGGTCTAAAGCTTTAGCACTGACCTTTTCCTTTGATCTATTCAGGTTCATTGACCTCCTGCCGAGATGTCCTGCCAGCAGAACCAGCAGCAGTGCCAGCCCCCACCCAAGTGTCCCTCACCCAAGTGCCCCCCAAAGAACCCAGCACAGTGCCTGCCTCCAGCCTCCTCTGGCTGTGCTCCAAGCCCTGGGGGCTGTGGCCCCAGCTCTGAGAGCGGCTGTTGCCTGAGCCACCACAGGCCCCGCAGATCCCACCATTGCCATCTTCTGAGCTCCAACTCCTGTGATAGGAGCAGTGGCCAGCAAGGAGGGGGCTCCGGCTGTGGCCATGGCTCTGGCGGCTGCTGCTGACCTGGATCCATGCAGAGACGAGTGATTTTAGAGGAACCAAAGTTCAAGGACCATCCCAGCCTGCCTTGCTCTCTCCCAAAAGTCGGACATTCTATCCTTTGGCCAGCACTGGGATGTTCCCCCGAGAAAGCTCTCATCTCTTCCCAGTGGCTCTTCTTGCTTGTTCTCCAAGAGCCCACAGAATATGCACCCTACCATTTACCGGGGTGTGCAATATCTGTCCGGTCGATTGTCATCACCTGTGTCTGATTCAATGAAAAAAATAAAGCTTTGTTTTCTCAGCAGCACTGCATACTCTCTTTGCTCCAGCTTGGGCTGCTCTGTGGGTGTCTCCTCATCTCTATCCCTCCAACCAGTATTGCCTGGTATAAAGAACAGGTTCCAAAACCAGACCAGAAAAGCAGCAGTTCAGTTTCCCTGAAGGGTCCTGTGGAAATATTTATGCTAGGGGAGGAAGAGGCGGGGTCTAGTGAAAGGCCTGATTTTCCCTGGTAACTGGTGCTCAGGCTCTGGTGGGGGTGACTACTACCATCATGGTATATGAAAGGTACCCCAGAATTCCCATCTACAAGACAGGAAATGAGGAGGCAAAGAATCCAAAAGCTAGCAGAAATATTGCTGAGAGACCAGGAGAGAAAAGAAAGTTCTTAGAGATGATTATTAATTCAATGTCTTCAGTAAAGATCTGGGGTGCAAAGGTGAGAATTAAAACTGAAGAGGTTGTGTGTACATGGAAGAAATGAGACATGGTGTTCTGCAAATAAGTATCTGATACAAGAAAAACGGGAAGAAAAAAGCACAAGTGAGAAACACTGCAGGTTTCATAAATGGATATAATCATAAGGTCAAATACTTACTTAGCATGCAAGATGAGCCAGGCACTGTCCTAAGTGTCTGACATACAATTCTTCAATTAACACTCCCAACAACTCTTTGAGGTAGATACGCTTACCATCTCATGCTACAGATATGGAAATATAATGATCGCGTGTTGTCTTAACTTGTCAAGGTCACACAGCAGTCTGGTTGCAAAGACCATCGATGCAACCACTGTGCTATGCTGACTTGCTTCAAGCCAAGAACTAAAATTATTTCTAAATTCCTGTTTTTCAGCCTAGCTCAATGAGTTTAACATTGTTTTTTGAGATTCTATACCACTAAGATTCCAAACTATGTAAGTCATAGCTTCAATAGGACCCTATTTAGGGAAGAAAGGTTTTAGATGAAAGTTGTCAGTTGACCATACTTATGCACCTCATATTGAAGCCATCACTTTGCATGTGAACCAATAGTGACATATGCCACTGGATATGAGCTGTTGAAATCATGGTAAAACAAAAATGATAAACCAAACCTAAGCCAGTATTTTTCTTAAAATAAAACTTAAAAAATCAAGGAGACATTAAAGAATTCCACTTCTAAGTATGTACCCTAAAGATCTGAAAGTAGGAACTCAGATATTTATACACCAATGTACATAGCAGCAATAGCCACAATAGACAAAAGATGGAAGCAACTCAAGAACCCACCCATTCACAGATAAGTGGATAAACAAAAGGTATGTACAATGGAATATCACTGAGCCTTAAAAAAGGAATGAAGTGCTGCTACACACTACAGTGTGGATGTAGCTTAAATACATTGTGTTCTGCGAAATAAGTCAAATGCAAAGGGCAATTACTGTATAATTCAACTTAAATAAAATACCTAACACAATCAAATTCAGAGAGACAGGAAGTAGGAGAGGTTACCAGGAGCTTGGGGGAGAAGGGAATGGGAATTTATTGTTTAATTGGTTCAGAATTTCTGTTTGAGATGATGAAAAAGTTTTAGAGTGACAAATGACACAACGTTGAAAATGTATTTAGTGCCACTGATTTGTACAATAAAAAATGCTAACATTGCAAATTTTATGTTATGTACATTTTGCCACAATTTTTTGAAAATAACTTTAAGACATAATAGAGCCTGAGCTAAAATCAAAACAGTGCGGTGGTATGTGAGCACATAAAATCAAAAATCCTCTAAATCACTTGGGAAGTACAAGCTAGAAACCAATTTCCCCTCCAACACTTATGGACACCCAGTTTCTTAGACTTTAGGAACAAAAAGATACCAAAGCAATCTGTGAGACAAAGTCAATGTCAGATCTTCTCTAAAACATATAGACCAGGCCAATGGGCTTAGAAGATGTAAGTACATCCTCGGGACACACATTATAGCAGGTTTTGGGTTCACAGCTACAGAAAAGTTATTTGCTACTTCAAAGAGTGAGAAATTCTTGGATGGTACTCAGCCAGAAAACATGAACTACATTGAGCAAGCAATACTTTAAATATCACACACACACACACACACACACACACACACACACAGATGTTCTAGGACGGAAAAGCCTCAAAGTAAGATTTGTTTCCATTTATTTGAAAGTTTTCAAGGCTTTACAGTCAAAAATATTTGTGGACTCATGGCCATAAAAATAATTGATTTACATATCCTTTACCACCCTAGAATATTACTGGAATTCATAAACCAAATTCTTAATTGCATAGGAGCAACCAGATGAACAGGGTTCAGCCTTTGGGTTCCATATGGAAGAATTAGAAACACATAACCTGTCAGGAGCTGTTGGATAAATTTTGGATACTCAGAAGTACCTAAAGATCTTCATCTAGGAAAACCATCAGAATTCTAGACGTTGGTCAATCCAATCTGGGTTAAGAGATAAGGGAGCAGGATCAGTCAATAAAGTTAAGACCTGAAACACCAAGGAGATCTCAGGAATCGTGAATGCACATATGGTTCACTTCTTAAAAACAGATCCCAAGTAGGCAGTCCTGGGGGCAGAGAGAAATAGATTCCCCCAAATGTCATCAGATCCAGTTCAGGATCTATTTATTCAACAACTCTCTTAAGAAATAAAAACATGTTTATTGAGCCATTCTATGTTCTGGGCACCATTAAAGTCACCAAGGGTAGCTGTTTCGGTCTATGTGAATCACTTCTGTCTCTGTAGTATCCCTGCATCTCTTGGAGTCAATCCCACAGTCAGCAAGATATCCAAACTGTGTTCCTTATGTTTGTATTAATTTTTTAGTTTTGTCACCTCTACATGTACAGACTCCTAACATCTACCAAATGGCTTTATCTTAAACATCTTTATTTCTTCTCTTTTCTTTTTTCTTTCTTTTTTTTTAATCAGAGTCTCACTCTGCCACCCACCCTGGAAAGCAGTGGTACACTCATAACCGCAGCAACCTCGACCTGCTGGGCTCAGGTGATCCTTCCACCTCGGCCTTCCAAGTAGCTGGACCCACAGGCATGCACCACCATGCCTGGCTGATTTTTTTGGTTTATTGTAGAGATGAGGTCTCGCCATGTTGAAGGGTCTCAAACCCTTCAAACATCTTTATTTCATTACGTCACATTCACTTCGTGGTTGTCTTCCTCTCCCAGATCCTTCTGACTTTACATAACCAATAAAGGAACAAGACCACATTGGATGACAAGTGTCAAAGTTGATGTGTGTGTGTGTGTGTGTGCATGCATATACATATGCATGCATATATACACATGTATTGCATACTTGAGTTGTATTCAATAATTCATAGATATTAGAAGAGTCAAAAATGTATTAATTCAACCTGGAAATGTCTGTTCCCCAAATGTATGCTCCTGATTAAACTCCTCTTCTTCCTCCAATTCTTAGCTTCCTCTGATCTTCCACTCAATTCCATTATCCCCTCACATGGCAGTGTTATTTCTTCTTTGTGGCCACCCTGGTAACTTTTGGGTCCCATAAGTTGATCCTGGAGTCCCATTTGGGCAAGCTGTTCCTATGCAGAGATGGGTTCCACATCTCTGCTCCAGTCACATGTCCAAGTCATCCAGGCCAACGACCTCATCTCTTCCAACACTCTGGGTGATAGCAGGTGACAAGATTGGGACCTATCATCCTTCATGGTCACTGCCACTCAAAAGGTCTGACCTGAAGCATGAGGACTTCCCATACACGTGCATCACACAAATTACTGTGTTGGATGCTAGCTATTTGAGTGCTAATCTGTTTGTCTCACTACATGGTCAATTACTCAAGAACAGACATTATATTTTATTCATTTCTGAATTCCCTTTGCTCAGAACAGTCTGTGCGAGATCAGTGCATGTTGAATGAGTGCATGAGTCAATGAATCAAAAATAAGTACATCAAGCACACAGCAGTTTTGAAGGATAGGTCGTTGAATCATTTGGGAGATTTCTGAAACTTTTCTATGAGAAAAACTCTTGAGTCTAGCTAGGAATGCAGGAAACTTGAAACTGGAGGGTAGGAACACCTCACCCTGTTCAATCTCCAGCCACCAATCTCCAGTCAGTAAACCAAAATAGGGGTCTGAGAACATGTGCCAGGGGCCAGCCCATGGCTGGAGTCATAGCCTTCAGTCCAAGGTGCTTTCTCTTTGGGGAAGTCATTCCACACTCTGTGCCCAAAGTATGCGCTGCACGTGCTTAGTCTGAAATAGCCCCTTGGCCTGGGGAACGTCTACCCATCCTGCTGGACCCGGATGTCAACTCCTCTATGAAGTCGCTTTCTCCCTGGCACCTAGCACCGCACTTTCTTCCCCCATCCTCATCCCCCGAGGCAGAATCAACCTCTCCCACTCACGTGTCTGCTCTGTCGGATCTCCCTGTCCAACCCTACACTAACCTGCACTCAGGAGACTGAGTTGCTTGCTTTAGCGGGAACAGAGCAGCGTGGATAAGTTTGGTGGCCAGCAGCAGGCTGACTGGAGCCCCTCCATATATGCCTCTGAGCCACCAGTCGGACCCGCATCGACCCCAAAGACCAGAGCGGGGCCTGCTCAGCGGCGCAGAGCACGAGAAAGAGAAAGGCAGACCCGGGTCAGAACGTACCAGAAGCGTGGTGAGGCAGGGAAAGGATAGAGTCTCAACCGCAGCTGCTACCACATTACCTGGCCTCCAGGTCAACCTTCGCAGGATGCGAAAGTGACCCAGAGCCACCTAGTGGCCACCTGCTGCTGGTGTTCCT